ACATTTAATGAATTAACATTATAATCACACATTAGTCTGTTTGAAAATGAGACAAACAAATAGTTCTGTGATACTACAGGATTAATCCAAGCACACATTGTACTGTAAGTATCAGTGTGCAAGTATGTTCATTTACCTCCTTCAGGGGTCATTGTTGAATAATACAGAAATAAGGGAAGTCTAAAATGTGTGTGTGTGTGTGTGTGTGTGTGTGTGTGTGTAGTGATATTGTGGGCTTCACACAGCTGTCCAGCAGCAGCACACCTTACCAGGTCGTGGACCTCCTCAACAAACTCTATACGACGTTTGACGACATCATCGACAACTACGACGTCTACAAGGTGGAAACCATCGGAGACGCCTGTGGGTGACACACACACACACAGAGTGTAACTGTTAGCTACTGTGTATTAAGGTCCTGTCGTACATTGTTGTCACTAACTTTAAGTGACTGGATGTGCTCAGGTATGAAGATGTTTCCAATATTTAGTCTACCTTGACTATATTAATGGGGTGGACAGAATATTGGAAACACCTCTTAGTGTAGGTCAAACAACAGTCTCCACCAAAACAAAGTCTCTGAAACAGTTTCAACATGAACTGAACATTATTTTAACCTCCATGTAACCTCCATACTGTGTCATGGTGTGGTTGTGTAGACATGGTGGTGTCCGGTGTTCCCAAGGAGAACGGGATCCTCCACGCCTCCGAGATCGCCAGCATGGCTCTGGACCTGGTGGGCGTCTGTCGCACCTTCAGGATCCCCCACAAGCCGAACACACAGCTGCAGATACGAGCGGGGATACACTCCGGTAAACACACGCCTCAAACACAACAAATCCACTCATCATAAACCTGCTCTGACCATCTCTGTCTCTCTTCAGGTCCAGTGGTGGCGGGGGTTGTAGGGACGAAGATGCCTCGTTACTGTCTTTTTGGAGACACAGTCAACACAGCATCCAGGATGGAGTCCACCAGTCTGGGTAACACACAGTAACATCTCCACATGACTCTGACCATAGACGCTATTAAATTTTCAATGTTTTGAAGGTCATTTACTTCTGAGCAGGGATGTTTTTGAAAACTCTCCTTGTTGGTGTGTTCAAGGACACTCAGCTACCCTCTTGTGATAAAAGTATTAGAACAATGAGTATATGACTCTCACCGTCATGGAGAAAACTTGGAAATGTAAAATATGTGAATTGTATTTTTGTACTAAATCCAGCGGCGTCTTCCTTTCTGAATGCGTGAACACTAAGTCTGTGTCTTTTCAGCGCTGAAGATCCAGTGCAGCTCCAGTGTGTTTTACCTGCTGGAGGAGATCGGCGGCTACGTGCTGAGTGCAGAGGGATGCTGCAGGTCAAGGTGAGCCGGCCCGCCACAGTCCAGATCTCCGGCTGGGAGCTTAGCGCGTAAACCCTCTGGATCTGTGTCTCTCCAACAGGGGAAAGGGGACATGGTGACTTACTGGTTGGAGGGAAGAAGACGTCTCTGGCCTCCAAGGACGTCGGCGCCGACTCCAAGACAACCAAACACATCCTCATGGAGGCAGAGAGACGGAAGAAAGAGCAGGAGTTGTACTCCTCCATACCGGTGTCTGAACAACGATCTCCTCCTGGATCCAGCCTGACCCCCAAAGAGTTTATCATTTGATGTGATTTCCTCAGTTGTCGTCAGTGTTTGTTGACTGTTAGTGTTACATGTACGCAGCGTGTGCTGTTTTAATGTCATTGATCCCTGCAGCTTAAATATCTTAACTGGCAGGAAAAGTCATTATGCTAACAAAACTAGTTACTCTGTACGTCTTGATAATCACTGTCACACCTTAAATTCTTTGACGCAGGCTGATCTCAAAGACAGGCTTTTATTTCTGGTCTCACATTTTTAAGAATATTTGATCAAATTTTAGTAGGACTGGCCATCGAGAACCGGTTCCAACTTTCAAAAATCACGATTCCAGCGGAATCGTTTGGAAAATTTGGTTTCGAATATGATCTTTAGTTCCAAATTTAACATGCAAGTTTTGGTTTCCGTAGCAGCCACCATACTTCCAGGCAAAGCTCAGGTCTGCACAGAACAAAACATGACACACTTACTTCTTGCACGGGAGGATGCACTATGAATATAATATCTACGCCTGCATGATGTACAAATCAACAAGAAGTGTTTGTCGCGCTGCTCCGGTCTCACTGTCCTGTCTCGTCCTCCTCAGGCAACCCTGAACTAACAAGAATTTCGTCACAAGTGAAACTTGTAGTGATGCAAGTTGCTTGACCAAATTGCTAAAATTATGGCGAACAACGTTACTGTAATGTGTTTTTTTTTCTAGATAAAAGTACGCAAATTTCTAAGACCTACCACTGCTAATGTTAAACCGGAGACTCGGCGTGAAACTCCGTTCACCTTAGCCCAGAACCTGAGTTGAAAATTTATAAGAACCGCAATCGAAAGGAAGAATCACAATCATTGAAATCAAAACGATGCCCAACACTACATTTTTGTAAGAAGCCCGCACTGTTTTGCGATGTGACAGCCAGAGCCACTCACAGAATCGTGATATTAATCGGGCTGTGACGACACAACAAGACTATTATTTTAACACTATTTTAAGCAATCTTGAACGATGAATATATGACTGGTAAAAAATTTAATTTACCCGACTGAAAGTCACATAATGCAAAACAATGCAGGTGCATTTTGAAGTTACTTAAATATTGTATGCGTTTTGTCTGTCCCCGTTCATTGTTTCCACCGGGTTCCCAAAACGCTGCCACACAAACCATTTAAAAGTGCATCTTCTATGCTAATTTCACCCTCACACTCCTTCACGCTGATAATGTGAGACTTGCTTTTTAACTCGTTGAGAAATATCGACTAGCCGAGCAGCTACGAGACTTTTAAACTCAAACTCATCCTCAGCACTGCTCCATTGGATTTACTTTATTTCTGTTTACCATTTTATGATTGCTTTAGTATTACTGTATATCTGCTACATAGCAGAAGGGAGTTACAAACTTAATTTCACTTTACCACCCGTTGTGATGTGACAAATAAACCTACCTTCTAAATATTTTCCACCTCTACAACATTATTTCAGAGACATTAGTGTTATTATTAAACTGTAGTGTGCGTATAGATACGCTACATTTCACAGCTTCTCGGAGCTAAACGTACCGGCTAGACTTTGATTAGGACTGGCTGAATAAAACAATCGATTTGCCAGAACATCATCAGTTGAATAATCCAATATTATTACGTAATGTTGTAGGACTCGAGACCGGTCTTAAGACCACTTTTTGATGGTCTTGGTCTCGACCACATTTGTACTCTGTCTTGTCTCGGTCTCAGACATTGAAGACTCGGAATTTTATTATAAGACCAGTCAAGACCATAACTTTGGGAAAAATCAATAAATTGCTTTTACATTTTTACTGATTTATTTGTTAACATCCAAACTTTGATTGGATGTAAAACGTATCGCTTCAAATGCAACCAATAACCCTAATTAACAATGCATTGTTCCCGTTAACGACTGTCCCCCCCCCCCACGATGGTAAGCATGGAAAAGGAGTGTTGAAAACAAACGCTTACATTGATTACAGCTCTTAGTGTTTGTATGTGGGTGTTTTTATGGAATGTGGATCTTTCAGGTCAGTTTGAGAAGTACCTCTGATCTCGTTCCACATTTTACTGTGTGTCATGTAATGTGGAGAACTGGTATCGGCCTTGACTTGGTCTCGGTTTGGGCGGTCTTGACTACAACACTATTATTAAGATATCTGCATGTTTGCTTTTCTCTGTGATTCTGTGTGTTCAGTGTGCAGACTGTGGCTACGTATTGACTATAACAGACCAAGTGTATTAAAAAGTAAAAGCGCCTCCTGTGGATTCTTCCGGTAGTTTCACGCTCGAACAGGCGGCTCATCAACATCTCTGCTGGCACGCACGTGTTGTATAAATATTCATGTCGCATTGTTGAGCAGATGGACGACTTGAAGAGACGGAGATGAAGGGATCTGTTTGCCCGTTAGCGGCAAAGATGGCCGACATGACAACAGATGGTCAGAAGGAAGAAGAGGAGCAGGAGAGGACCTTAGAGAGAAGAAGAGGGGACGAGTTGAGGGGAAACGAGCCAGACACCAAACTTTAATTTGTGATGGAGATAATTAATTCAGATCAGAACAGATATGTGCAGGTCTGTTTCCTTTAACAGGTCGCGATCAGCAGTGTTATGATCTCGTTAGCTGGAGTTTCCTGGTGCTCATATGAAGCCTGAAGCCTGATTTGTGGAAGCAAAGACGGGCTGTAAGGTTTTAATTTTATAAGCAGCTCAACACCAGTGAAACTGAACCACTCAGGAGGCCCAGGACGGACGGGGACAATTACCATGTGTGATCAGATACAGTCATCATTTCACTCATACTGTGTAGACATAGTTTCTGGGCTTTTCTAGATTGCTGTTGGCTAAAGCTGTTTTGGTTGTTTGATAGTAGGAGACAGCAGGTTTGAATCGGGGCTGTAAGATTTGAGTTTGGCATTTCGGCTGCTGTCCGTGGTGCTGATCAAAGGCTGCAGGTTTGCATTTACATGGAGTCTGTACACCCGTGTGTACACACGAACGTGCTTTTTGTGGCGAGGCACACAAGAAAAATATTAACATGGAGGGACAATCACAATTATGTTATGCTGCTGGAACCACTCCTGAATTTAGAATATTGTATTTTTGAAAATCTATCTTGTATGATATGAATTCGAGTACTGTAATATTCAAAAGGACCTAAATGTTTGTGGTTGCCAGCCACTTTTCCACTTTTCTTTCTTGAATCACGTGACAAAGGAAGTTTGAACGATTCCTTTCAGGCTTGTACTTCTGGATTTCACCAATCCAGCTTGATTTTTGGATTCCAAAAAAAAGGAGCAATTTAATTTGAGCAACTTGAAAATCATTTTTGGTGGCAGCATGTCTCTGCCTCCGTTAAGTCAGCCCAGGTCCGGTTCAGACTCAAACAGCTGTTGGATGTTGTGGTTCAGACGTTCATGTTTCCCGCCAGGATGAATTCTAATAACTTCGTTGACCCCCTGACTTTTACTCTAGCGCCATCATCAGGTCAACAGTTGTACACTGTGGTTACTGCTAATTAGCTAATGTTAGCATTAAGAGGTTACATTTAGCTCAAAGCACCGCCGTGTCCGAGTCTCACAGAGCTGCGGGGATGGCTGCAGACACTTAATAACTTAAGTCTTAATATCTAAATGTCAGACACTTGAATGTAAATTTGTCAACCTTAAAAAAAACTTAAATAAAGTTTTTGAATTGTTGAAATTACCTAAATTCAGATAGATTGTTTTAAAAGTAAAATACTTTAATGCCATGTGTTCAGTATCAACTTGAGGTTAATCAGGCTTTAAAAGGAGCACGAGAAAACTCCAGAGAACAAAATAATAAAACTAAAACATTTCAGCGACCCTGGCTGCTCCAGGCTCCTGTAGTTTGGTGTTTTAAAATACAATTTATTTGACTTTTTGTTTCAACATATTGGTACATGTGATTAACAGCAGAGTACTGCAGCATGAGAGGAGAGTGTGTTTGTGTTATATGGGCTCATCTGCATGAGTGGTTTGAATACGAGCACAGCTGCAGGAGGCAGCTCGCTCTCACACACACGTTAAATTAGCACTGTTTGAACATTTGTATAACATATGAACTACACTAACATTTCTCTGTCATCACAGGTTTATTTTGATTCATCATCTTCAGTTTTGACACCATTTCTTCAGCTACAAAATGTTTTTTTTCCCCATGTTTCATAATTTACCTTGTAAAAAGCATTTATTTTAATTTAGCCATGAAATTTAAATTAATGGAAAGATTTTGTGCACGTTAGTACACCTTGATTCATCAAGTGCAGCAGTTAAGACTTTAGTCAATTAATCAACCTACTGAGAATTAACCACCAACTATATATATTTATTTTATTATTACAGATTAAACATTTTAAGTATGCAATAAGTAGTATTCCTGCTCTTCTCTGGTTTGTGTTAATGTTTGGTTTGTTTTTTTCTGTAATTAAACATCCTAGACATGACGCACTTATGTTCAAATATTCACAAACAAACAAAAGGACAGAGATAGTAAGTAAGTGTTATTTGGGGAGGTTTGGTAAGTCCCTGTTAGACCTCTCATGATCAAACTGCTCTGACAGAAACCAAAAATATAAAAACATTATAGTTAATCACAATAATGAAAAGTATTCTCACCCGCATCATACTTATGAATAGGAACACGGGGGTTAGATTATTTACTTTAATTTAAATGTTTATATATATATATATCACAGTGGATTGGTAAAATATAAAACAGGCCCAAAACACAGTGAGAGGAAGAACAGGGAGAGACGGTGAGCTGGTTTTTAATTACAGATGAGAGAACGAGTGTTTGAAGTGTTTTTGTTAATAGAATGAGTACTCACCCAAAGAGCCTCTCTCTCTCTCTCTCTCTCTCTCATTCTTTCATTAGCTCGCTTGCCCTCTCTCGCCCACCCATTCTGTTGAGAGCATTTACATATCTGAGGACACACACATCAAAGTGTCTCATCGTTATGAAACAAGACTGTGTTTATGTCAGAGCTTTTAGTTACTGAATACATCAGGACACACACACACACACACACACACACACACACACAGAGCTGTTTCCATTCATAACGGTGGTTTTGTTTAAGATACATCTGTGATTCAATCGTCCACGCTCGGAGCTGTAAACAGTCTTCAGCCAATCACAGAGGATAAAATCAGGCTTCAGAAACAAATCTTTAATATCAAAGTGAAAATAAATCAATCTAGACAAACACATAAGAATGAAGTACAAATATAAAAACCAAATAAATTACAGAACAAATGCTTCTCCAGATGTAAAAACACTCGCTGTACACCTGCATTTAAAATGCATTCTGGGTGATCGGACTGCAGTCAGAGAGCACTTCAACACATGAACCCAAGACGCACTGAGAAAGGATTGTGATCCGATCAGCCGAACCATCTCTGGAGGCGGTGAGGGACGCATTAATGATCACATTCAATACAAGTGTAACTGCTGCACAGACAGGCAGTGTGACGATACACTCACACGGTGTTGACTTAAACTCAATATAAACTACTAAAACAACAGAAACACATTATGAAGACAGAAAGGGCGAGGACTGTTCAGATCGATCGCTCTCTCATGTCTGTATTTGAAGCTACAGCCAGCTGGCTTAGAGCTGGGCGATATGGCCAAAATATTATCATGATAAAACATTTAATATCATTCGATATTGATAACTATCAGGATAAATGTCAAATGTGATTTTTTCAGGTTTAAAGGCTGATTTTTGCTCCTGAGTGGAAGAAACCAGATGGTTAATTGTGTTTTTAAACTTTTCTTTATGGTCAGAAAAGAAAAACTTGTTGTGAAACAGCGAATCATTTAACATAATCTGAGGTCAAACATTCACAACTATAAATATAAAATCTTTTTTCAACAAATATGCACGAGTGAAATTAAATATCTTTTGGTCCTCAACAAAATTATAAAATATCTTTAAGTGAAGCCCTGATTTGTTTGATTCAGATTAATTAAATCAAACATTTATTGAACATTTGCTATTGAGAAACGCGATATATATAATATTACCATTATTATTTTATTGCCCAGCCCTAGCTTAGCTTAGCATAAAGACTGGAAACAGCTAACCTGGCTCTGTCCAACAAAGCATCTGGCACATCAGCTCCTGTAAAACCACTAGTGGTGCTGGAAGTTGTTCCCTTTATAATTTCCTCCAGGAATTAATAAAATATTGAAAATTGTTTATCACAATTTCTGTCTGAAACGAAACCTAACAAATACTTTTACTAACAGAAACTAGAAAATATTCACATTTAAGAAGCTGAAACCAGCGAAACAATAAATGTTCTGTTGATGAACTAATCTATTAATCGTTTCAGCTGTAGTGAAGTTTTGGAAATATAATAAATATCACGCAGGCTTCCTGGACTTTCATTATAGACATAATAAAACAGGGAGGTGTTCTGGTGCTTTGTGGAAGCTCTACAAACCAGCAGACGTCAGCACACCTCAAATTGTTTCATGAGGCTTCATCCGCCCACCTCCAGCTGCCGAACGACCAACAACAAATATTGTACCCATAATTGCTTGTGTTGATTTCATCGTGATTCTCCCATCGTTCCCGTTCAGGGCCCGTCAGGCGGGAGGCTTTCAGAGGTCACGAGGCTTCAGTCCACTTCTGTTGTGTTTTAACAATGTGCTTCAGTACGGCCGGCCTCCACAGGTCTGTCAGGTCGAGTCTCTCAGTCTGTAAGAGGATTGAACCTCACAAGGTTTAAAAACTGTCCATCAGCCTGAGACCAGAGCAGGACGACGGGCGAGAGACAAAGACAACGAGCACGAGAGAGAGAGAGAGAATCAAAGTTACATCACATGAATGAGAACAAAACAGGACAGCAGGACGGGGGAATAAAATGTGTGAGACTCCCAACATCCTCTCGAGAGGGTCTCAGCCCGACAGAGGCTCGTACTGATACCAGCCAATCACAAACACTCTTGATCTGGATCAAGCCGCAACAAATCACCACAGGGAAATGACTTCAGCACGACAGCCTGTTGCTTCTTCCCCAGCTGCATGTTGGCTGCTGTCCTCCTCCTCTCCTACATCTCTCTCTCCATCAGCTACAGCTCTCGCTTCCTCACCCTCTCTGGCTGCTTCAGCAGAGCTGGCTGAAGCCTGGAGATACTCAAAACTAATTGGATAGTAGGGATGCACCGAATGTTCGGCCACAGAAATTAATCGGCCGGAAATAGCAAATCAATCACTTTCGGTGTTCAGCATAATGCGTTAAAAGACATTTTAAAGTGTTTGCAGATGCTGTTCTGCTGAATTGTCTCCTAGCACATCCACTCCATCTGTGGCTGACTTCTTATTTCATTTTTATTTCATTTTCTCTCTTTACAAAGACAAGTGTTGCAGTAGTCCTACCTCAAGAGAGGCTTCATGTTACGCGACACGAGAACCACATACATCATCATTTATCAAACCGGGTTAGACTTTAGCGCGAGGATACACATGTGACAACGTCTGGGTTTTAAAAATAAGGTGTCTGTACAGTATGGAAATAAGAAGAATTGGATTATATTCACAGAAAGTATAAAACATATTACATGTGTCCATTAAAAGTAAATGGACACTAAATGTAATTTACTTTACCGGACCCTCTCGGGCCTCAGACCCACCCACCAAAGTCTCTCCAAATCCTGTGTGAAAACTGAGTAAAAAGAACATTTTCACTGTTTAATTTATGCATTGGTAAAAAAATAAAAAATGGAATAAAATGTGAATGTACTTGTTTGGTATTCTGCAAATTTTTTCATTATATTCGGTTTCAGCCTCGGCCAAGAATTTTTATTTTCGGTGCATCCCTATTGTATTGTAGAGTTACCGTGCATTCACATGTGTCCAGCACGATGAGTGAGATTTCCAGTGTTGGCACAACGTTCACGGTGAAAAACACCACGGGAGTTCATAAGTTAACTGGTGTGAGCCTTCTGATGTCTAACGTTAAGTAGTAACGTGTAGTAGCCTCGGCTCGCCAGAGGGCGTCGCCATTGCTCCTTATGTAAACTCCTTTATAATGCAGTCTATGCAGCTCCTTAGCTCTCTCCACAGAGTCATTTCCTCATTTATGCAACTGTAGATTTCTGTTTAAAAGGGCAGAGCAATGTTTACTGAGACATTCAATAAAGAACTGTAACTGTTTAAATGACTAATGGTGATTTATTTGTTTTTGTCAGACTGGTGACAATAATAATATTGTAATGTTCTGATTTACTGCTGGAGCTCAATACAGTTAGAAGATGATCTGCTCGTCTTCATTCCTGTGTCCTGACTGATACACCATCCTGTTTACTGTCCGAAAACCTTGATGAACTAGCCTTAATTTATTTATTACCTCACTAATAGTAATAATGAAAATCAATATGTGGTTGGCCACCACAGATAAATCAATGTACGTGAAACACTGGATCCTTCAGATGTGGTTTGTTGTGAACATGCTGACCATCATACATGAGTGAGTGAGTCGGACATTTTACAGTGTTAAAAATCATCTCTCATTTCTGTACCTGTAGATAAAATGTGTATATAATGTCCATAAAACTCTTGTTTTTCTATTATGTTATCTATTCTGTTTTTATTTAATGTTTATTGTCTTATCTCTCGTGTTGTATCTGCAGCTGCTCTCACAGGAGTGGGATCAATGAAGTCTCTCTTATCTAATTGACATTTCTTCGTATCAGCCGACATAAACACAGACATAGATTTATATCTACAGCCGATAACGGCTGATATATCGCCCAGCGCTACTCAAACTAATTTGACTCATAAAAATAAATAACTGCTACAGCTGAAATGATCAGTCTATTAACAGAAAATCAATGTGCAACTATTTTCATAATAAATTAATAATTAGGATAATTTTCCAAGGAAACATGGCGTGAAGGTGAATATTTGCTTTCTCTTTGGATGGTCAGCAGATTAATCAATAAGAAGTTAGTTGCCGTCCTCATGATGGGTATTTGAAAACAAAGACGATCAAATCTAGTGTTTGTGCAGAATCACTCACCTGTTACTGGCGGTCAGTTTTGCAGGAGGAGGGCGGTCCTCTTCTCCAACAGCCAATAAGATGCGATCCTGCTGGCGTAGATCACATAAGACCAGGACAAGACCACGACAGCCAGCAAGACCTGAGGGACAGAGAAACGACAGAGAAAAACTGAAAACAGCATCATGACACGAGGACGTGGAATAAAGACTAAGATCAGTGCAAAACCAATTCATTTATTATTTATATTTTTAAAAAGTGACACGAAAAATATGAATTAAAGATCATGTCATTGTACAGATATAAGGAAGCCACCAGACAAACGTGGTGTCTCATTCATGTTATAGGACATGCTGGTTTGGCTGCAACACTCTGCACTGACACTTTGTTACCTGCGCGCTGCTTACAAGTCAGAAACTCCCACCTGGCATGAGTGCAGCTTTGACAGACAAAAAATGTTTTCTATTAATTAATCAAACAGTCTGAATGGATGCTTTATTCACGTGAACCTACAACATACTGTATATCCTTACTCTGATACTTTCTGCCCCACATTAAACCTGAGGTGAACTATTTCAGAAAACTCACTTTCTTTTGATGAGATGTATGTTAAATAAGAGTATGTGTACAGTACATGAAACTTAAAGGCCTCAATGTTAAACCTGGCCAACAGCAAGCGGCTCATTATCTTCACTGAGAACAAGGTTAAAGTGAAATCAGGTGCATGTACCACAGAGTAGGTCCTGTCCAGAGCCCGTCTGCTGAAGGTCGCCATCCTCTTGTTTAAGAGAGATTTAACACGCTGAAACACTTAAAGGCACAGTTTGTTTTGTTTAGCTCACTTTCCTCTTTCCTCCTCCCACTCCGTCTTCTTCTTCTTCGTGGCTTTATGGCGGTGGGGACCCTGAAATGCTGCATTGCCGCCACCTAATGGAAAACACCCGGGTGACAACCCAAAGTATTCACATTCAAAACAAAGTCTGAGTTGGTGTAAACTCTTCTCTCAGTGTAATGTCTCTCCTCCTGAAATGTCCACAATGTGCAAGAATCTGCTTGCAGCGTCCAACACTGTCTTGTTCCTCTTTCATTTACTTTTCATTTCAACAAGACAGTTTACCACCAGAAATCATCTCTTGTCCCTCTGCTGTTCCTTTTCTAATGCTGCTCGTGTCTCCTTTCCTCCCCCTCTCTTGGTATCTTCAGTGTATAAAAGACCCTCTTCTGCTCTGATCTCACTCGCTTTTATTCTTTTTCCTGACACTGTGCTGACCCTGCATGGTGTTTTCCATCACAGTGAATGCACTTTCCTTGCTCCTGCTCTTCTTCACTCTCCTCCCTTTCACACTTCTTGTTCTTCCCACACGTCTCAAATCTTCTGACTCCTCTACGTACTGCAGCAACACGTCCATGTTCCTGACAGCAGAAACATCTCAGCTCTCTCATACAGCCTCAACCTGTAACATATAAAATCCTTTCTGGCATCTCCCCCCCTCAAACGTCAGATCCACTGAGTAACTTTCTCTCCTTGTAGGCAGGGTGTCAGTCTTCTTCTTGTTCTGCTGTTTCTGTTCCTGATGCTGGTTACTGATGGACGGCAGGTTCATCTTCAGAAACTTTCTGCTTCGTCCTGTCAGTGAAATCACAGCTGGACCGAGCTGCTCTGCACCACAAGGAGGAGCCTCCTCTGATGAAAATCATCATCACTGTTTGAGTCTCAGTTCTTCTGCATCTCATTCAGCTGCTCCCTGCATCTTCCATATTGTTTAGGTCCAGTGGTTGTTTCATTTTTTCTTGCCAGCATGTTTGTTTTATATTCTGTCCATTTATCAGAAGACAGGTCTCGTTGTGCGAGTGCAGCATGTAGCAGAAACGTTGGTAGGTTGTTTAGAGCTGCACATGCTCAGTGCAGTCCGAGTCGGCTTGACAACAGAAGCAGCTTCACTCTGAGCCCAGCAGAGGGCCGTGTTCAACTGTGCATATGAAACAGTGTGGAGGTGAAACACATGTGTCCTGAGATTAGTGTTGCTCACAGGTTTATATATTGATGATTGTTGTGTACATGAATACACTGAAACCAGGCTGTATGATTATTTTAACCTGTTTTCAGAACCAGATCTCAGACTTCAGACTAAAGTGTTTGTCTGCTGTGAGGCAGAGATAAATAAGGCGTTCAGAACTTCAGTGGCATCAGCTCCTGTTTCTGATGTGACGCCCTGCAGCGAGCCAGCAGTTTGCAACAGTTACAAGGGACAGTGGTGAACTGAACAATCCACGACAACATTCACTCAGTGTCCAGTTTATTAGGTACAGCTGGCAGTCTTGTAATAAATAATGAGTAAGTTTAAGTTTATAATGTTCAGCTTGTGCTGATTCAGCTGTTTGGTCATTTTGGAGGATGCAGTTTGGGCTTCTGATGAACTGCTTTGTGTTACACTGACAGATGTTTCTAATATTTTATCCTTCCCCGTTTAAATCAATGAGGCTAAAAAACATAAAGAAACAGGAACATGTAATAAAATATGTAGAAATGTTTAAATAATCTAAATTGCATATCGTATGTTTTTCTCAACTTATTTCTAAAATTAATTTTAAAATGTTTAAAGTTGTCTGTAGCTGATCTGACTGAGGCCTCGTTCAGACTGCCAGTGGAGGTGCCAAAAATGTGCAGTTTCTCGAATGTCCACTTGAGGCCGTCTCTAAAAGCCAGGTCCAACTCTCCGTCTTAAAGGGTCCTCCAGGCCTTTGGGTATTACCCTATTAGGTATAACTGGGGACTGTTAGCAGTTTTTAGAGGCACATAGAACAGTTTTAATTGTGTCTAGGATCATCCAGAATTCAAGAGTTGCACCCTGGCAGATTCCTAAGTGGTCAGTATACAGGGTAATGCGTCCTATCATGTAGGTGACAAATCATGACAGGGCTAGATCGAGAATCCTGATCCACAAGTTGATGATAATTAATTTAGGGCACCCCTGTATCAGAGTCAGGAGTCTCAAAGGCTGATCTGGAGACCACTGGTCCATACAACAGAAGAGGAGCCATAAGGTCAGAATAGCAGTAAGCTCCAGGTTCTCGCTCACTCACTAGAGAAAGACAGTTGTTGTGGTTGCATCGGCGGTGTTATTGGCCGTGTTTGAGATGAGCTCTCTGGTCGAGATGTCCTCGATCGTTGTGGTATTCAGGTGTTGCAACATTTTTCTCTTGTTCTCTTTGGGTTTTTGTCTTTCACTTTGATCACAAGTGAGTCTGTAAAACCCCAATATCTCTTTTTTGGAAGTACAATGAGGCAGGTGTTGTTACGTGCAGATGTTGGGAATCTTATTTCTTTCTCCATATATCCATGATTTTCTAACTGGTAATGGCTTGGATCCCCATGTGCAGGACCATCCTGGTTCTCCTAACTCTGCATGTATCCTAGTATCTTGCACATTCATTGTTTCCTTCTTCTGTACCTGTAGCGTTCATAGCTTGAGTCCTTCGTTTCCTGCTGTTTGGAAATCCTGCAGAGCTTCTAATACTTCGGTGATGTTTTCTGTCCTAGTGACATTATGAAGTGCTTCGCTCTCAGGGAAAAGACAACAATAGACAGTCCAGACAATATAAGGATGTGATGGCAGTACGAGGAGCTGAATACTATTTGTGCCAGAGAGGATGATAGAGGAACACCGCAACGGCGCCGCACCGACTCCAGCAGCAGGCAGGCAAGAACCCTAACCACCATCAACCCCCCTTCCCATTTGTGTATGTGTACTGCATTGTGTTGGATGCATGTTGTGGTTGGTGAAGTGTGGTGAAGGAGTGGAAATAAGGTGCACGGTAACTAAGGTGCAGTTAAAATTGGGGTGGTGGTTGCTACACAATTGGAGTGAGTAAGAAGGCACTGATTCGACTCGGGAAATCGACTCGTGGCTCAATTTCAACTGTGAGACAAAAATATCTGACATGTCAGAAATGTATCTGATGACATCCAATGGTTGTGCACAAGCTGCATGTCATTGTACACTTCACATCAAATGACGCCAGACGAATCTGATATGTGGACTCTAAACTAGAAAATTGGGTGAGAAACAGGCTCAGGTGTCCAGCTTTGGGGCCCCGGGGAGGTGAGGACAGGACCTCACTACAGGACATGCCCCCCTGAGAACCCAAACCATGATCTTTCCTAAACCTAACCAAGCAGGCTTTGTCTAACAGAGACACTGCCTGGCCAAAACTGCCCCTCTCTCAAAGACTGAAGTGAACTTGAGGTGTGGATGAAACACAACTTCGTCCAGTTTAACAGCTCAAAAACTGACTCAGTTCTTTTTGGCTCCCCACATCAAACCCAGTCATCCTCCATAACCGGTATTACTCCCCAATAGTCACCAATCTTGGCCTAAGATTTGACCCACAACTCACCTCTGAAGCCCCATATTCAACACCTCTGAAAATCACAGTGGATTTGAATTTCACCACCCCGATGAACACTTTCCACAGACTAGCCAATAGTGATGATTTCAATTAATTTTGATAAAGACAGGACTGTCTGTGCAGCCTTGCTGTTGTGTTAGCCCTTGTGTATTTGTCCTCTTCTAACTTGTCCAAGGGTGTGACCTGTCTCTCAGTATGTGTCAGCCTTGTGGCTCAGTACAACCTGGTCAGTAAACACAAAGTTTATTTCCTGTTTGAGAAAAAACCACAATGGTGACACACAAAGAGGAAGGAGTTGGGTTTTAGTTGGTGTGAGTGGTAAATGTTAATGTTTAAAATGGAGGGATCATCTTTACCGTGGCTGCTAGGTAGGTAAGAATCTATCTAATATGTTAATATTTGTCTCCACGTTGTTTTAAAGATTAGTTCTAAAACATTTCTGGTGATTTTTAGAGCAGAAGCGAGTTATAGAGTGAATACAAAGACTGAATACAGCCAAACTGAAGGTTGGGAGGGTTACTTACTAATTACTAAAAATGCATTCAGTAATGTATTCCAAGTACCACAAAATAAAAGAAATGTAACCTGATCACTTGTAGTTACTTTTGGATTACTTAAATACTGAATAGTATCATATTCGATGGAGAAATATTAGAAATACGGAAAAAATAATTTCTAGTTTTCTGCTGCTCTGCCTCAACTCTGTGATTCACAGAGTTTCACGATAAAACACAAACTTTACTTGTGGCTGAAGTTAGTTAACAGCTAACTCAATTAGCTGTGCAACCACTGCTTAAATGTGCTCACTCTGCCTGTACTGGGAGCTCGGAGCGCCGGGGGAGTGTTAGTGTTCTCTTTACACTGTATAAAGGTATTTACGCCTGTACACAAGCACTGGAGGATTTCAGGACAGGTTTACAGAAACGCGTAGATAGACTATATATAAAAAACATATATGGAGGCAAACAGCACTGCGTTTTCCGTTTCCTGGAAACTTTCTGCTTAAAGTAATCCCTATGAGTAATCCCCGACTTTTCAAAATGTCCTAATAATGTAACGCCTTTACATGTAATCTGTTACTCCCCAACCCTGCGGACGATATATATTAGGACTGTTCCAGACTAACAATATACATAGTCGTATCTGAATTGTCAAGTAATGCCTATAGTCGACAGATCATCAAATCATATGTGTGTGCTTGTGCGGCGGTGGTTATACACGCTTGCTCCGCTTTAAATCTTGAGAAACTGCAGAGCTGTAGTCTCTATTCTCTAGTCTCTGCTGTAACTTACACTGTATATTTCCTCTAACCTGAAGCTTATTGTGACCCTCTTCTCTCCGATCACCTGCCATTCGCCGGTCTTGAGCAGAGTTTTGCGTGCAACTTAATGCACGTTGCGGTTTCTCGGGGGTCTATTTCAAGTAACTGTTTATAAATGATATGTCTTATAAATTATCTTTGTGTGGTTCCTCAA